GATTATTTTCAATTAAAGTCACTTTAAAAACAGCCAGTGCAAGAGGGACACTCTAACCCTCCTTTCTGTCTCCCTAAAAACAGAAAATAAATCTCCCATGTGAAAGGTATACCCCATGCCTCAGAAGTAGGAAGACACCCTGATCGTCAGAAATAGGGAATTCAGGCAGAGAGACTTACATAAACAAGCCTTGTGACTTCTTTTATCTACTACCTCAAGCCCAGATTCTGTTGAGATTCTTCACTAATTGGGCAGTCAAAGCCGAATTTCTCACAAATGTACTGTTTCTTTGTAAGCACCCAACCGGAGGAACTTGCCAGCACCACTACTCTTGCGCTTTGGGGCCACTACCTGGTAAAATAAGGGTTCCTTGAACGCAAGCCTTCGGATACCCTGGTGGTCGACCTGATGGATAACTGAGAGGGCTACTAAGTTTAGTGCTGGAGAAAGGAACGACTCACATCCAGGGGGGACGAGGCGGGGACAGCGCAAGACTGCATCACGCTCCTCAGGACGGCGCACGATTTAGGGAATAGTTATTTGTGGAATTTTCCATTTAAATTTTTCAGACTGCAGTTGACTGAGAACAACTGCAACCACAGGCAGTGAAACCCGGCGTAAGAGGGACTCCTGGATGCAAGTCAGTAGATCACACCTTAAGCAGACAAATCAAGAACAGCAACGTGAGCATCTTACCTGGAGATTCTGAAGGTAACCACAAGAAGAAAGTTACAGCAGTCGAAAGTAGTTCTTGGGGAACTAACTGCAGAGGGAGTGGAGCAGGAGACTTCCGCATTTTTATTTTTTATAAACCCTTCATACTATTTGATTTTAAAATCCATGTCCATTCATTAATTTGAAGAAAATTAAACAATTAAAACCACATTTTTCAATGATGAGAAAAGAAAATAACCTCACAAATGTCTGCTGCACAATGACGGTGTGCCAGGGAGGGCACTAGTGTTTGGGGTACAGCTCGGGCAAAACAGCTCCTGGTCCCGTGAAGTGTCACAGAGTCAGACATAATAACCCTCATGGGGGGAGGGTGGAGCTCAGTGGTAGAGTTCCGGCTTAGCATGCATGAGGTCCTGGGTTCAATCCCCAGTACCTCCATTAAAAAATTAATTAATTAAATTTATTAGATAATAAATAAAATCTAAAAATGATAATAATAATCCTCATATCAGTGGCTAAGGCACAGATGATGCTTACTGTGGGCTAATTTAAGACAAAACCCTAAGAAACAGGTAATGTTAGAATCCTTGTTGCTTGTTCAACTGTTTGTTTTACAGATTAGGAACCTGAGACAGGGAGAGGTGACCTATTCAAGGTTACTCAGCTAGTAAGTGGTAAAGAGAGGATGTGAACTCCAGCTCCAGAGCTGAGCCACTCTAGTGTCAGTAATCAAAGTATCAAATAACCGCGGGGACGAATGCGTGGTAACTGGGATGGGTGCGCTGACTGAGGGCGCACCGCTCTCTGAGCTGCATAACCAGACCCAGCCCAGGCTCAGGGGAGGCTTCTGTGGGGAGAGGAGCCAGTGTACACAGGGCGGGGAGAGGGAGGGAGGGCTGGGAGATGGGGCTGGGGCAGTGGGCAGGATGAGGAAATTCAGGACCATGAGACCGTATTAAAGCTGGTGTCTTTGTCCTAAGAGCAATAAGAAGGCCTTGATAGGTGTGAAGGCTGTGGGTGCACGTCAATGATACATCTTTGAAAACGTATTTCTAATTGTGGGGTGGTTTGGGGGGGAGGGGAAAGGAGCATCTCTGGCAGAGCAGTTAGGAGACAGGCGCAGTGGTCCAGGCCAAGGAGGAAATGTTTTTTATTTTCAGTATCCCATGTGTCAAGATGGAAGGTACGTATAAATCATTCTAACAGCATAACGAAGCAAAAAAATGCAATTATTTGAGTGGCGAGCTGAATTAGCTGTCATTTTCACAGAATACCACTTTTGACTTGAAAGAACAGCTAACCAGCTAAGGTTATTCAGACTTAGGCATTTGGCAGGCATTTTCTCAGAAGTGATCCAGATCATGCTGTCACTTCAAAGGAAAACAACTGACCGATGATAAAATTACAATTTTAGAGAACTTACCTGCCACCATGAACTTGACGGCTTTCTAATACTAAAACCTTTCTAAAGAGGATATTTCTGTGGAGATATTTGTAAATATGATCTTCCTCTTAGTGTATTGTATAATGAAACGCAACAACATTTGGAAGATCTGTGAACCAGTATTTCTCAAATGACCAACGTGTGATGTTATAAAATCGTGGACAGGCAAATGATTCATCAGAAGTGCATGATTAGCCAGTGGATTTTAATGAAAAGGTTTGGTTTCGAATTCCACATTGCAACTAAGCTTTTTTTTTTTTTTTTTTGGCCGGGGAGGGGTAGTTGGGTTTATTTATTTATTTATTTATCTATTTAATGATGGTATGAGGAATTGAACCCAGGACCTCATGCATGCTAAGCATGCACTTTACCACTGAGCTATCCCCATCTCCTGCAACTAAGCTTTTAAATTTGACTACTTGTTAAGTTTTGGCGTAGTATCAAAGAAAAATATCCACAACTGTCTGAAAAAGCTAATAAAACATTTTCCCCCTTTTTAAACGACAAATTTCTTTTCTTCATCTACTCAAACAAAAATAACCGACAGCAACAGATTGAATGCAAACATAAATGCAAAAGGCATCCAGCTGTCCTTCATTGTCAGACATTAAAGAGATCTGCAAAATAAAACAATGCCACTCTGTTGGGAAATACAGTTATTTTCATTAAAATGTATATTTTTATCAACCTATAACAGGTTTCATATTATTTTAGATGAGCTAATATATAAGATTTTTTAAATTTCTCAGTTTGAATTTCTATTGTGATAAATATCAGTAGATAGAGTCCACATAAGCCAGAGTATTTTGGGGCTGTTAATAGTTTTTAAGAGCATAAAGGGGCATGTGGACCAAAACATTGGATCTAGCCTGGGGAGGGAATAGAGGGGTGTATTAGGCTGCCAATACCACAAACTGGGTAGTTTAAACAACAGAATTTCTCATCTAATTGTTCCAGAGGCTAGAGCCTAAGATTAAGGTGTCAGCAGAGTTGACTCCTTCTAAGGGCTGTGAGAGACAGTCTGTTCCACGCCTCTCACCCAGCTTCTGGTGGTGTGCTGGCAATCTCTGGGGTTCTTTGCTTTGTAGAAGCATCACCTGATCTCTGCTTTCATCTTCACATGTGTGTGTCTATGTCCAAATCTCTCCTTCTTACAAGGACACCACACATATTGGAGTAAGGGCCCAGCCTACTGCAGTATGAGTGTGGCCTCATCTTAACTAATTACCTCTGCAAAGACCCTGTTTCCAAATAAGGTGACATTCTGAGGGACTGGGGTGCGGACTTCAACATGAGAATTTGGTGGGGGACACAATTCAGCCCGCCACAAGGGGGAAGCAGTAAAGTCAGGTTGGAACATGGGAGAACTCAAGGTTTCAAGATGGGACAGAGGAGACGGACCAGAAACAGAGAGGGAGAAGGATCATCTGAAGGAGAGAATTCAAGAGAAGAAAATGTCTCAAGAACCATGCATTGGTTGTAGAAGAGGAGGCCTGAGAAGCATCTGGAGGTTCTTGGTGACCCCGATGGACCTACTTGAGTGGAATGAAAGGGGCAGAATTCAAAGTAAAGACTGTGATGTTGGGAAGTCAGTGGCTGGTGAGGAGACCACAGGGAGCAACAATTCTTTCAAACTATCGGGCTGGTGAAAGGAAGGAGGGCAGGGTAGCAGCTGATGAGAAAATGAAGTGTCACAGGATGGTTCCATTTATTTTTCAAGGGAAGGGACAGTTGACAAGCCAAAAGAACTCTGTGAGCTCTGGTTACACAGCACATTTAAGAAAACGGCGACATCCGCTTTTTCTCGTCCATTCTGTACATTTGAGACACTCTCTTTGAACCATACAAAGATATCACTTACATTTCTCTGGAAGTTTCCTGACTGAGTGCTGTATTTTACAGGTAACTTTTCACAGCGCTGAGGAGTCACAGACAGCTGGAAGAGGTAAAGTGTGAACAACCGCAGTCCAAGTCAGTCTAAAACCAAAGTAAACCTCGGAAATTCTCTAGCAGTGCTGGGGCTCCCCACCGCGAAGGGAGGGGAGAAAGTGGGGGAGGAGCCAGGCTTGGCTCTGGCCCTAAAGGGTTTCCAGTCACTTGCTGAAAGAGACAGAGATTCAGTCCAACCCACTGGCTGGAGCGGAGGCATGGGGAGACTAAATGACTTACAAAGCCAGACAGTACGCTCGCATTTCTGTAATTATTTGTGTCACTGACTTTTTCACTAAGCAAGTCATTCTCCTATTAATCATTAAATACTATGTATTTTAATAGACTTTCAAAACCCTCATTAACACTTACATTTGGCATTAGGTCTTGAGAGAAACCACCCTCTCAGAGCAGAATCAATTCCATATAGGATCCAAATGAACGCTGCTTTTGACACTGGATGTTCAATACCACTGCCCCATTCTTTACACAAGTCTGGGGCCCGATGCCAGTTTGCGGCCACTCCACACTTGTCCATGCTGGTTTCTGGCAAAATATTTTCCTGCCCTGAAGACTTTCTATGAAACAGCTCTTGCAGAGCCAAAGAGGTAAGCGCACCACTTAGACCTCTTCAAAGTAGACATTCCTTTAAACAAAGGGCCTCCTTTGTTCCCAAATCGTTGCACCCAGGATTAGGATGATACTGTGCACAACCACATGCTCAGCCGTACAAGATCAATTTACAGGAGATCATCAGAATTTAAAGAATGGAAAGGGAAAACTGGAGTGCAAGCCAACATGCTTGCAAGAAATTTAAGCCATAAATTGAAAAAAAAAAAAAGTAAGCTGCAAAAGTAACAACCTGATTTTCCAAAAACAAGGTCTAATTTTTCTGAACTGAATTCCAGCCAAATTGCCTTCATTCAAAGAATTGATTTTACCAACCACTTACCTAGCCCTTCTCCACCAGAGGCCAGACACTGAGTCCACCATCCACGAGCCTTCACAATGGGCTCTAATGGATAAAGCACTAGAGACAGAAAGAGAATGATTTGAGGTTGCCAAAAAGAAAGAATGACATTCAGCTTCACACACAATCAGATGCAACTTGTGGACAGTAACATTCATGAGTTGACGAGTTTATGTTATCAGCACACTGAGGACAATATTATGTGTGCTGGAACCAGGACCATCCCCTGCCGTGAACATCCCCACTCCTGGCCACGGACCTTCTCCTGTGATGGTTCTTGGTACACAATGGTGCCGTCCAATGTCACTTTGACCCTCACTGCTATTCTACATCTTTCTGTCCTCTAGATCATGGCCTGAGAGAGAAAGAGCGCCCCCCCCCCACCTGGTGGCTCTCAGGGACACCTACACTCTTCTCCACCCTCCACCCCAGCCCACCTCCCTGCTCAGCACACGGCCACCTCGTTCCTAGGGAGACCCTCCATCATGGAGCCTCCGGCTCCCTTTCCTCCAGCTCAACGCTGGGCTTGCTCTCTGTTTCCCTTCTCTCCAGAGCACAGCCACTTAACATCCCTTTGATTCCTGTCTTCAATGCAAGTCTCAGACTGACCGGAAGTGAGATTTAGGAAAAAGAAGTTTCATCCTGAAGAGGACAGAACACTCCTAAGTTTGTCAAGCGTGGATTTTACCCATTGCATCTCCAAGTTTTTCACTGGGGGGCATCTCCCCGGTTATTTGTCTTTTGTGTGATAATATTTACTCTAAATTCTATTAGAGAGTTTCTTTCCAGTATGATTTCTATGTCTACTTTAAAAAAAAAAGACTTTACTAGCTCATTTCTCTTCTTTCTCCATTTAATATACTATATTGAGCACAGAGTCATAGAACTGTGCCCCTGGAAGAAAACTTAGACATCTAATCCAACCCCTTTACTTTAGAGAGAAAGAAACAGGCCCAGGGAGGTGAAGGGATTGGCCTAAGGTCACACAGCTACGGACAGAACTGCACGCAGAACACAGGGCTCCTGACACAGGGTTTTTGCTTTATCCCTGCAGCTTTCCAGTTTGTTTCTCACAGGACTTAACAACCTTTGTGTAGGCACAGTATGTAGCAGAACCCCTTCTGGGGATAATTTACCCCCTCTGGGGAGTCCTGAGGAGCCCAGACAAAGGTCTTCCCCCATAGGATTGAAAGGAGCGTTTCTCTGGACTTTTCCCCCTCTGTCCCCCTCCCAGAGAGCCACCTGCCATATCTCCTGGGTAACATCATCAGTAAGGTGATGTGACTTCCGCCAAGGTCACATCACCTTACACAAGAACACTAGAATCCAGGACTCCTGGCTCGGGGTTGGTTGTGTTGGCCCCTCAGGGGCCATGAGCAGCCTGGACAGAGAGATGAGAAAAAGTGACTAAAGGAAAGTTCTAGAAGAGGCTGGAGGCCACAGAGGAGAGAAGTTAGATGCTGGGAAGAGAGAACCAACCATCTCTCACTCAGCTGCCTGGTCCTTTTTAGCTGCATGTGGACAGAACTGGAAAAGAAAACTCAGCTGAGTGTTGATCACAACATGCAGCTTATTTCCCAAAAACCTTAGCTTAAAATTACTTTCTGAGAACACACATCTCTGTTTATTAAACAAAAAAAGGAGCTTAACCACAAGCACTGTTGTGCCAACAGAAACGTTTTGCACAAATGGTAAGACTGGGAACTGAATTGCCAATCACGGGGCTTGGAGCTGAACAGGACCTCCCCTCCAGCCATTCATTAACTTCACCTTAAAATGCCCTTACCTGTTTGAGGCTAGTAACTCACTGACTTTCTCACAGTCGGAGCTATCCCACGGTGGAAATGACTGCCTTAAAAGTTAGTAAGAAACCTGTCACTTGAGGCATTTAACAAAGTCCAAGTAATGACCTTGAGAGGTCAAATGCAACAATACCAGACTATTACCTACCATTTTCTTTGTAGGGGAGAATTCTTATAAGGTAAAAGACTGGCCTAGGTGGCCTCTAGGTGCCTTTCTAATCATGGAGATTCTATGTTTTCTTTTTCCATATCTTATTTCTAGTCTTCTTTTTGTCCTGAACATTTGTGGGTGTGTCTTGTACATTCTGTTATGTATCTTGGGCACCCCAGGAACAGAGGCTGTCAATAAGCAGTTCTCTGCACCACATGCAACTTGAAACTTAATTAGGATTTTTTTTTAATGGAAAAGATTTACTGATATTGAATGTTTTTCCCAGGCAATCAGACAGATCCTGTAAACTCCAGGCTATCTGCTCTGTGATTGCATTGCTTTCCTGTGAACTACTCTTTTAAAAAATGTATTAACTTGATTTTATTTCCTAATTATAAAACACATTCATTGTAGAGAATCTGAAAGACATCAAAAAAAAAAAGTATAAAGAAGAAAATAAAAATTACCTCAAAGTGTAATTCTAGATATGACCACTGCTAACATCTTGGGAGGATGTTTTTCAAAACTTTTTCTGTGTATTGTAATACTGGAAACATACTTAATATACAGTTTTATATCCTGCTTTTTCTGCTTTATGTTATATAGCAGGTGTTTTCCCAAATAATAACCATTATTCTAAAACATCATTTTAGAATTAAACATTCTATCCCATTATAGGAGGCTTCTAAACTTTTATTTTTACAAATACTGTAACGTTGAGATGGAGAATCTTGGATGTACATTTCGTGTGTGTGATTATTTCTTTGAGGAAAAATTTCCCAAGAGCCATTAGAAGGAAAGGTGGCCAAAATAAGCTGAACCTAACAAGGTCTACAACTTAGCTACATACAAATCATCTCAGTTACTGAGACTGGATTGACAGGATGGCAGACTGTTGTGGTCCCAAGCACCTGACTGAAGCAACCAAAAAAAAAAGATTATGCCTCATCCAAGGTGATCCTAGGACTCAAGTTATTTCTACAAGCAATTGTCTATAATTACAATTTTTCACACAGTAGAATATAACCAGGTACGTGAGGAAACACAACAACATGAATGAAAACCAGCAGAAATAATAAATAGAAACAGACCAATGGGGGTGGGCAAATATTGAAGTTATCAGACACAGATTAAAAAAAATTTATCTTCACTCTGTTCGTGAAGATGAAAAACAAGACTGAATAACAGAAAACTATTTTTTAAGATACAAAATGAAAATTCTAGAACTAACACTAAAATAACTGAAATTAAGAACCCAATGAGTAGTTATAAAGTGAATCAGACCCAGATGACAAGAGAGTTAATAAAAGGGCAGAAGAAAATATTCAGAATAAAGCGCATGAAAACAGAAGAATGGAGAATAAAGAAGAGGGTAAAGAATGAGAGGATTCAGTGCAAAAGCCTAACTTACGTGTAACTGGAGTCCCAGAAGGAGAGAAAAGAATGGGACAGAAGCAGTATTTGATGGCTGAGAACTTTTCAAAACTGATGAAAGACATCAGATCCCACATTCAACTGCCTACAAACCCCAAGCGAGGCAAATAAAAAGAAACCCATACCTGAGCCCATCAGAATACAACTGCTGAAACCCAAAGACAGAGCAAAACTCTTAGAAACAGTGAAATTAAAAAAGAGACAGATTACCTACAAGGAAGCTCCAATCAGATGGACAGCTCTCAACAGAAACCAGGAAAGTTAAAAGAAATAGAAAAATATATTTAAAGCATTGAAAGAAAATACCTGTCAACCTAGAATTCTACACCCAGTAAAAATACTGTTCGAGAACATCTTCAAGAATGAAAACTTATCCATCCAGACAGACAAACACCCCAGTGAGGGAATCCTAAAAGGTGTTCTTCACGGAGAAGGAAAATGATGGCACATCAAAGACCAGACTTGCAGAAAGGAGTGAAGAACAACAGGTTGGCAAATATGTGGATAAATTTAAACATTCACTTTATTAAACAGTAATAGTGACCTGCTGAGTTAAAAAGTATGTGTATAGTTAAAAATATACGACCATATGGTCTGAAAATCAGGAGAAAATTCCCAAAGTCTTTGCAGTATCTATGAAGACAATAAAAATATCGATTAATATTAGACTTTGATGAGATCAGAATGCATGCTGTAATCTCTAAAAAAAAAATGGAATAATAAACAACTCAGTCCAAATGTAGTGAGGGGGTGAAAAAAGGAACATAAGACAGGTGGGAAAACCAGAGAGCACTTGGTAAGATGGCAGAATCAAAACCTAAGCCAGTCAAACAAGTTTATACTGTATAGCACAAGGAACTATATTTAATCTTGTAGTGACCTATAATGAAAAAGAATATGAAAACAAATATCTGCATGTATATACTGAACTATTATGCAGTACACCAGAAATTGACATAACATTGTACATCGATTATACTTCAATTAAAAAAAACCCTAAGCCAATCAATAAATACAGTCCATGTGAGTAGATCCAGTGGCCAAATTAAAGACAAAGATTGTCAGAGTGAGTTTTTCAAAATCCAACATCATGTTTTTTATAAGGTACACATCTAAAATATAATAAGGACTTACAGAAGTTGAAAGAAATGATGGAAAATGATGTACATGCAAAATTAAGCAAAAGAAAGGTGGGAGAGCTGTAGCAATAACAGACCAGGTAAATTTTATCACAAAACAACATTCCTAGAGATTAAGAGGAATGTCACAAAATTATTTCTTAAAGAAGGTTCAGTTCATCAGGAAGGTGTCATAATTCTGTATTTGTATGAAGCCTAATGACAACTTCAAATACTCAATACAAAAATAGACAGGACTACAAGGAAAAGAGGAGTCCAACAATCTCTGTCTCAGTATTCAATAGATTTAAAAATATATTTTTAGAAGATATGAACCACACAATCAACAGTCTTTACCTAACAGACTTACACAGAATACTGAACCCCACAACTGCATAACATAGTCTTTTCAAGCACTGCCAAGCATTTATAAAAATTGGCCATGTGATGGTTCTCAATGAATATCAAAAAATAAAAATCATCGAAGTGTATTTGCAGAGCTCAATGCAATGAAGTTAGACATCAGTACCAAAGAGGTAATTGGGAAACCTCCATATGCTTGAAAATTCAGACAGAAATACACTTCTGTGATAAGGAGATCCAAGCCCGGGGGAAGATGGTCTCAGCCAAGAGGAAGTGTTTTGTTAAACCCACCTCTGTCCTGGCCACAGGCCCACCATCCCCACCGCCCCCTAGCGCAATTGTGGGTTAAGGGCAAATCGAATGACTCACCCCTGGAACTGCTCAGAATTGGTTCCAAAGGGTGGGTTCCAGGCCTTGGTCACCTTGTTCCTTCTCTCAGCTCTATGACATGATCTCAGATCGGACTCTGTGTAGTTCTCCTCACTTCCTCCAAATCATGCACTCATAACTGAACGGCAGGTTAAGCTTCTCCACAAAGTGCTGCTTGGGGGGAGGTCTAGATGTTTCAGTCCTACGAGCAACTAGAGACTGACATTATTTTGTGAAAACAGATTCCGACAAAGCCCCACGCAGGGAGAGCCATAGACCCCATCTCTGCTGGGAAGATAGGGACCAGCGGGCACAGGAGCGGTCAGGGCCGCGACTCTCCTCTGAGTGGATGAATGAGAAATAAGTACCCTGAGTTCCAAGCCAGTGGTCTCTTCCCAGAGGTGGGGAGGCAGGTAGAGAGGGAGATCAGAATCACAAGGGACGCTTCCTCAACAGAAAATGTCATTCCCGTAGGCGGATGCGCTTCCAGGCCACAGAATGCTGGTTTTCAATCATTTTGCCCAGGAAACGCTTGGCTCCCTCTCTTTTTCAAATGAAATTATATCAGGGAAAACAGATAAAATGGGAGGCAGTGAGGGCCCTAGAACTCCACGGTCTTGGCCACACCGACCCCAGCACGGAGCCTGGTCAGAGACATTTTAGCCTGGACTGTTTTTAAAGTATGTGTAATCACACACCTTCCTCAACCATTAAAAAAGAAAAAAGAAAGCTTGAGAAAGCTCCTGCAGAATGTCTCGCTTTGAGCAATGCAACTTCCTGGTGCCCATTGCAAAGCAAACCTGATGTAAAAATGCATGAAAAACTTACTAGGGGAGGTGAGGTAACCAGCTGCCTGGAGTTTTAGTTACAGACCTGTTAAAAAAGACAGCTAATGATGGTGACACTTGTAAAACAGTCACCATGCAGTCCTTCCATTGACAACTACTGAGTTCTCAGAGACCCATCGAAGAGGGGAGGGTATAGCCCAAGTGGCAGAAAGCATGCTTAGCATGCAAGAGGACCTGGGTTCAATCCCCAGTACTTCCTCTAAAAATAAATAAATAAGTAAACCTAATTACCTCCTCCCCACCCCCTGAAAAAGGAAAGGAAAAAAACAAAAACAAAAACAAAA